CACCTGCAGCACTCACCAAGCACACCTGGCACACCTGTGTGGCAGCCCCGGCTCCCCGTCTCGCACCTGCTTGTCGCGGAACTCGCGCGCGTCCTTCTCCATGTGCCCCTCGTACAGGTTGGTGGTCAGGCTCATCAGCCCCAGCTTGGAGAGCCCGAAATCCGTCAGCTTCACGTGGCCCAGGGACGTGATCAGCAGGCTGGGGCAGGGCGGGGCGCAGGTGAGGGCGGGGCACAGGTGAGGGTTCCATGTGCCCCTCGTACAGGTTGGTGGTCAGGCTCATCAGCCCCAGCTTGGAGAGCCCGAAATCCGTCAGCTTCACGTGGCCCAGGGACGTGATCAGCAGGCTGGGGCAGGGCGGGGCGCAGGTGAGGGCGGGGCACAGGTGAGGGCGGGGCACAGGTGAGGGCGGGGCACAGGGGAGGGCGGGGCACAGGTGAAGGCGGGGCCAAGGTGGACAGGGCGGGGCCCAGCCAAATGGGTGGGGCCCAGGTGAGTGGGGTGGGACAGCGCAGGTGGGTGGGGCATTACCCAGGTGGGCAGGGTGGGGTGGGGCCCAGGTGAGCAGGGCGTGGCCCAGGTGAAGTGGGCAGTGCCCAGGTGAGCAGAGCAGAGCCCAGGTGAGCGGGGCAGTGTTCAGATGGGCTGGGCGGTGCCCAGGTGAGCAGGGCGTGGCCGAGGTGGGCAGGGCAGTGCCCAGGTGAGTGGTCGGTGCTCAGGTGCACAGGGTGGGGTGGTGCCCAGGCGCCCAGGTGAGCAGGGCGGGGCCCAGGTGAGCAGGGCGGGGCCCAGGTGGGCAGGGCGGTGCCGTGCCCAGGTGCCCAGAGGCGTGCCCAGGTGCCCGGCGCCCGCGCTCACTTGTCGGGTTTGAGGTCGCGGTGCACGATGCCGTAGGTGTGCAGGTACTCCAGGGCCAGAACCGTCTCGGCAAAGTAGAGCCGGGCCAGCTCCAGGGGCAGCGCCCCGATGTGCTTGAGCAGCGTGGCACAGTCCCCGCCTGGCACAGGGGACATCGGGGGGACATCGGGGACATCGGGGACATGGGGACAATGGGGACATTGGGGACATTGGAGACAGTGGGATATGGGGGGACACGGGGACAATGGGGACATGGGGACAGTGGGGACATGGGGACATGGGGGTTTCTGGTTGGTATTGTTCTTGTTGTTTTTTCATTTGCTTTGCCTTGTTTTGCTTTGCTTTGCTTTGCTTTTGTTTGACGCTAGATCTCGGGGCTTCTTGGGGGGGGAGTGGGCGTGGGGCTTGTGGCTTGTGGTTCGGTTGGTGGGCTGGTGGGGGCTTTTTTTGGTGTTTCTTTGGGGGGCTTTTATTGTTGGGTTCGGCTCTGGTTTTTTTGTTTTCCCCCTGGGGTTGGTTTGGTGGGGTTGTTTTT